ACTATTATGTAAATTCGTGTACGGCGCCCCTTAGTACTGTCTTAAAGTGTCATGAACCAATCACAGAGCCGTATTCGCATCTTAAAATATTACTTGAGACTGTCTTGAAATAAGTGCGTTGTTTTTTTTTAGCTGCACTGCTGAACTGGTACACTAAGTACGAGTAAGAAAAAGTATATTTATCTCACTTTAACTTATTGCACTAGTTTAGCAATGCAGCTAAAAAGAACAGACCAATTATTTGACTATGGTCTGGTTTACATCGTGCACTTGATACGCGTACTAAATAGTAACTTTCTATTAAATAATCTTAATATTGACAATGCATATCAACGGCGATGCGTTTAATCAATACAATACGTTTTCTTAATGAGTATTATACCGAGTTTAATATACCGTTGTTTATATATATCGTCAATAGGTACGTTCAACGAACTCAACAGTTGCATAACAGTTGAGCAATTCGTCAATATAATTGGTCTAAAGTTAGAGATCTAACAGTAAGGACCAATAATCACTGACCGCTCACTGATCAGCTATGTTTTCTGAACGCAGTCAATATTAAGATTATCTAATAGAAAGTTACTATTTAGTATATGTAACAAGTGCACGATGTAAACCAAGACATAGTCGATATTAAAGCCAGCAGCACACGATGCTTGTTTTCATGCTGGATTACTTGCTGGATGGAAATACTCTGTTCTGATTGGTGCATTTCTGAAGACGGACCAATCAATAGAGTATTTCCATCTAGCAAGCAATCCAGCACGAAAACAAGCATCGTGTGCCTCTGGCTTAAGATTATCTAATAGAAAGTTACTATTTAGTATACGTATCAATTGCACGATGTAAATCAAATCTATGAATATTGGTCATAGACCAAGCATTGGGTGTTTACGAAAAAGCGCTTTGGGCTTGTTTTAGGTCAAAAATATAACTACTCTCTACAATTTTAGTATTTTATGTTCTGCCATATAGTGTCTCAAAGGTTAGGATACTTTTACATGGAGCATCAAGCGTCGAGCATTAAAACGGTAGCCAATTAACGTGCTACTTTCCGCAAGAACTACACGTATACTTCTGTGATACGTTGATTGGCTAACGCTTTAACGCTCGACGCTGGAACGCTACCATGTATTGGCACCTTTAGACGACAGTTTCCCGAAAAGTGGAGGGGGTAATGTTGGTACCAAAAAAAATCTCTACACGATATAATTTAAAGATCTGTTTTTGTAACTGCACTGCTGAACTAATGCAAAAAGTTAGAGTGAGGAAACGTATACTTGCCTCATTTCAATGTATTGCACCAATTTAACAGTGCAGTTACAAAGAACAGAATCTTTAAATTAAATCGTGTAGAGATTTTCTTTGGTACCAACATTATCCCCTCCACTTTTCGGGAAACTGTCGCCTAACCTGTCTCAAATAGCGATCGGGTTACTTCGCAAGTTCTTTTTATATTCAACAAAGTGGCGAATTGTATTTTAGAAGATAAATATTACATTTATTCAATAATATAGGGATATATATATATATATATATATATTTATA